CCCAGTGTTGGTCCAATGTTGGTCTGTGTGGGTCCAGTGTTGGTCTGCGTGGGTCCAGTGTTGGTCCAGTGTTGGTCTGTGTGGGTCCAGTGTTGGTCTGTGTGGGTCCAGTGTTGGTCTGTGTGGGTCCAGTGTTGATCTGTGTGGGTTCAGTGTTGATCTGTGTGGGTCCAGTGTTGGTCTGTGTGGATCCAGCGTTGATCTGTGTGGGTCCAGTGTTGGTCTGTGTGGGTCCATTGTTGGTCTGTGTGGGTCCAGTGTTGTTCTGTATGGGACCAGAGTTGGTCTGTTTGGGTCTAGTATTAGTCTGTGTAAGTTTTGCTTGGAATATTTATATATGTTAACATACATTTTCTGTTGTAATTATTTCAGTATCAATGACCACATAGATGTGAGCCTTACAATATCAAGAAATATCAAACTAAAGACTCCAGGTTGCCAGAGTAATCTGCCATATACCCTACTAACATTTGATCATCTTGCTGGGATAGCAGAGAGACACAGCCTACCCAGTACCCTTGAACCAACACTGTTGTCTGTGATGTCCTATGTTACTGATATAGACCACTGGGGTCATAAGGTTGCATGTGCACTTGAAAAGGTGGGTTTACATATACATAACATGTACACAACATGTAAATACAACATTTATTGAGAAATCATTTTGACTTGACTTTCCAAATTATGATTTTTCTCCTGAAATTTCAAAGGGGTTTGTGATGAAAAAAAAGATTTTTATTTTCTAATTTCTGTCCAGATTCTTGAAGTCAAGTTTACCCATCTGGTGACGTCTTGGCAGAGTTATTTCAATAAAAGGGCAAAAAATTAAGCCAGTTTCAGCAAATTTGTGGACTGTTTTTATTATTATTGGTTCATCTTTTTATATTTATCATACAGAATTCTAGTTCATGGGTTTTACAAAACATGGCAGCATTATTCTGGCGTGTTAAAGGGTACACTGCAGAAGCTGCTAACTGTCTTAGACAAGCATTGTATAATTCTCCAAGGTAAGGCCTAGTGTGTAAATGTAGCATCACACAGACTTATATGTGATCTTGTTGTAACACCTTGGGGCTATCTTCCTTGATTTGAAATATTTAATTCTCCAGTTTCTAATGGTTTTACTCCCTCACAAGTCTAACTAGCGAAATTACAATTCAATCTTTGATTTTGCCATACCCTGACTTAGATCAGCCCAGAGGTTGTTTCAGGGTTCAATCTGTGAGTTAACCATGCCCTGACTTAGATCAGCCCAGAGGTTGTTTCAGGGTTTCATCTGTGAGTTAGCCATGCCCTGACTTAGATCAGCCCAGAGGTTGTTTCAGGGTTCAATCTGTGAGTTAGCTGCGCCCTGACTTAGATCAGCCCAGAGGTTGTTTCGGGTTCAATCTGTGAGTTAGCCATGCCCTGACTTAGATCAGCCCAAAGATTGTTTCAAGGTGTCAATAAAATTTAAAGTCCTCTGAAGGGTTGTGATGATAATACATAATCAAATTGGCAGGAACAAGCTAAGAATAAACATTGCTCAGTTTAGAAAATTGCTTGAGTGCAATTCAAAGATATTTTGTCATTACAGAAAACACAGAGATATGGCCCTGTTTAGCCTGGCTATCATTCTACATCGTGCAAACTATTCTATGGATTCCATTATCTTACTGCATGCTTCTATAGAAAACACTTCTCATCTTGCTTTACATCATCTTGTACTTGGAGTAGTTTATGCAGTAAGTTGATTCAAATAAAGACATATGTTCTACATCAGGACGTAGTCTTGCCAATTTTTGAAACCTGCATGAACAATATATTTTTTCAATATTACGCTAGCTCAGTAGATATTTGCATGCAGAAAATTTGCTGATTTGCTTCTGTGAAAAATACTAAGCAGAATTAAAAAGAATCATTATCACCATCACTACTAATATCTTCATCATCACCATTACCATCACTATCACCATCATCATCATCACCACCATCATCATCATTGCCATCATCATCATCATCACAACTACCATCGCCATCACCATCGCCATCTTCATCATCATCACTATCACCATCATCACCATCACCATCATCATCATCACCATCATCATCATCATCACCATCATCATTATTGCCATCATCATCATCACCATCATCATCACCATCATCAGTATTGCCATCATCATGCTCTTTGCAATGACACTCATCTTTAACCTTGAGTGAACTCAACTTTGTCATTTTTCATTCCAGTCACTAGGGCAGTTTGATATGTCTGAGCTGTGCTTTCAATATGTTATTGAAATACAACCTGACTTTGCTCCAGCAATGGAACTGCTAGAGGCTGTAACATGTGAGAATAGATACACGCAGGCCTTGAAAGACCAACATAGGTAATTATTGACCATTCATTAATTAATTTATATAAAAAATATATCTTTGTCTTCAATCCTCCATTAATTTCTTTCAGAACACTGAAGGAGTTTGTTGGTAAGGTGAAAGCATTTCACCACAGACAGCAGTTGATGCAGAAGTTGAGTGTCATGGATCAGCATACAAAAGATATTCCTTTAGAACAATTTACAAGACAGCTTCGCTGGTTCCAGAAGAATCTTGTAAAGAGTAACTATCATTTAATAGAGATAAACCAGGTACGTGATTGGGTATGTTTGTTTGTTGGTTTGTATGATAAACAAATGTGGGCTGGTTTCACAAGAAATAGTCATACTGACCTCATTCCTCCTGACTGTCTTTAATTTAGGACTCCACTATTGTGCAAATGAATTCAAGAAATAGAGAAACAAGACAGGAGCAAGAACAGATTGTTCCCTGCAGCAAAGAAGATACAGTTGACAGTTGTACCAGGATTTCCAAAACGAGAAATGAAAATGTCGAGAATGGAAAATTTTCAGTGAAAAAAGGGAAAAAAACAAGTGCTGCAGAAAATATGACATCAAATGTCATACAATTGAGTGGTCCATCCAGTGGTCCATCCAGTGGTCCATCCAGTGGTCCATCCAGT